TGGCATTATGTTAATAGTCTTTATTTAAATTATATTTACTTGGAGCGTAGATCAGTGGCAATGTACCACATTCATGCGCACATTGCCTGCAGGTCACGACCACCCCCCACTCCATCTCTCTGCCTCTCTTGTTTGCTGTCCACCTCTCTACAACCTAGTGAGCAACAAAGGCAAAAAGCCTCAAAGATAACTTTAAAAAAGTTATTTACCTCTAATAAATATCTATATACATGTACGTTTTGTGTTGACATTCCCCGAGTGTCCCGTTTGTGTCCATATATAACTGATACCCCTGATGTTTACAGTAGCCTGGTTTTAACATGTTGACATAACCGTCAGTAGGACGATGTGGTACCCACACCTTTGCTGAACCAGGAGAGGTCCATATGGACCTTTTTGGTCTCGTGCAGATTATGTGGAAACATTATGGCTGGAAGCATCTAGTCAGTATGCGAGTGCCTTTTGCATCATTTTGCCTGAAGTCCCAGGACTAAGTGGTTGGATTGGCAGACGTCTGTGTGATTGACTTCCATGCCTCTGAGGACCAGTAGGGGAACCATGTCTCAACCAGCAAATGTGACACAAATGATAAGATTTCTGTGTGGTATCTGAACGTTACTCTGTGATCTGGTTGCAGATGTGGCGACAACATTGCATAAGACACATGAACTGAAGTGATTTCACACTGTTGGCTCAGTCTTAGGAGAGTCAATGATATGAAATCTTTAGAGGATTTGATTAAAGAGTTTACTTAAACACTTTGTCAGTTTTCTGTAGGGAAGTGAAGTCTGATTCCCCTAACCTGAACAGCTATCTGTACCTACTCTCTAACCTACTGCACTCTGGCTGGCAGGGCTTTTATTTTGGAGCAGAGAGGAAGTGTGAGTGGATGTGTGTGTGCGTGCTCCTTGACCTGGTACTGCGGGTCCTGCGGGGACTGACCTGCTCTGTGCAGCCGCACTTCGGGCTTCAGCACGGCATCGAGCAGCCTCCTCTGGCGGCAGATCTCCCGCTCGGACCGCTCCACTCGCTCTTCGTACTCCGCCACGGTTTCCTCAAACAGAGCGACGATCTCCTCCGCAGCCGCCGTTAGCCGTTCGGCGAGCATCGCTCTCAGCACCGGGATCTCCGCCGCTTCTTCTCCTTTCTCCACCTGCAGCAGGAAGTCTTCGGCGGCAGCGCTGATCCGCTCAAGGACCGAGACCCGCAGCAGCTGCACGGCGCACATCGTCCTGCTTTCTGCGCACTTTGAGCTGCGAGCGAACAAAGAGCCGCGGGGAGGTAAACAGAGACACCGATTTCCGCGTCGACGACACTTCGCTAAGAGGCGGCGAAGCGGCAGAGCGAACAGCGACTTCTGCTGGACCGGAGGAGAAATGGAGAGGGTCAACAGAATTCAGAAGGTGGAACAAGTACTCAGAAGTTAAAGTAGTTAGTGATACCACAGAATCACTCGATTAAAAGTCCAGCATTTAAGATTTTACTTAAGTACAAAATTACTGGTATCAAGATATACTTATAACGTATCAAAAATCAAAGTACTCATTATGCAGGATGACCCATTTCAGTGAATAATTTGCTGTCGCGGGGGGGCAATCCAGGTCACCACTCTGTCACAGGGCTGACCCATGGCGGAGAATTATCATCTTAGATGTGACCTAAAGATTAAAATTTAGTTGTTGTTTTTTCTGGTTTTCTCATTCTGAAATAATTACAGACTATTTGGAGTTATGAGGGGTGCCATACCAATCTAGGGTTACCCAAAATTAAACATTAAATGGCTGTAAATGAGCAAAACGAACAGCCATGGGCTCTTTAAGGGAGATGACTGTTTAGTGTTTACAGCTACTGGCGTGCCTGAGTCTGACCTTAGGAAACGTGCAGCATTAAACAGCAGCTGAAGATAATGTGCGGCCGCAGGTAGATGCTGAAGCGACATCGCACAAACACTGTTTATTCAGAAACACCACAGAAGAAGAGGATGGGATGACAGCGCTGCTTCACCGACTTTCAGAGCAGAAACGGAGACAAAAAAGCTCAGTGTGAGACCACTGACAGTGATAAACACAGGCCTCCTGGAAAATACATATTCAGATCCAGCCAACTACTGTTCAATGTGACATTGGTGCAGCAGCCTCATGGTTTTCATGTTTTTACTGTGCAGTACTTTTTACTCCAAAGCACTTTGAACTGCATGAAGCTGAGTGAATGCTGCTGCACAAATAACTTTCCAAGTGAACATTACAGCACTGCATTCAGATTTTTGTCTATGAACATATCAGCATGACAATATATTAAAGCAGCAACATTCAAGTAGTAGCAGGACGGTTTACTCCCTGAGGTGTAAAGTAACTAAGAACATTTACTGAAGTACTGTACTTAAGGACCGTTTTGAGGTATTTGTGCTCAAGTACTTCCATGTTCTGCTACTTGTCAGAGACAAACTGTAGCTACACTGGCTCAGTCCCAAAGATGGGACCTTTTGAACAGCTTATTTTTAACCAGTTCCTCAGTGGCTGTATTAACTCATATCTGTGACAGAAACATCTTCATGAAACTCGTCATTTGGACAGTTACACAAACCGTGTACTTTTTTACTGCACTACATGTATCTGATAACTTCAGTTCCTTTCCAGAATCAGATGAATCAAACCAAACCCAGTAGAACCATCAGACTCTATTGATCCTGGTGGGAAATCCACCAGCAGGATGGAAAGTACTTCATATTATATGTATATAAGGTAGTTACCATCACCTCCACCTTTACCAGCTGCAGCATTAAAGTGATGGACACAGTAACATATCAGTCACTATGATCCAGCAGTATCAGAGATGTTACTGGGAAACGGGCCGTTCTGCAGGACGAGTACTGGTACTGTTGGTACTTCAAGTAGATTTTCTATCTTGTTGGTACTTCAAGTAGATTTGGATGCTCATATCTTTGTAGTTTTACTTAAGTAACATGTTGAATGCAGGACATTTACTTTTTATTACTAGACCTACTAAACATTTGTAGATACTTCTTCCACCACTGTACTTGAATGAAGTACAAGACCTCAAATGTGTTCCAAAGTACAGTAGTCAGGTAAATGTACTTTGTTACTTTCCACCACTGCAGTAATGTGTTGCAGGTAATAAGTTTGAATGGTGCAACACCATGAGACTACTGTGTTAATGCAACACCCGTTTTATTGCTTCAACCCCATTCCACAGATTCATCCTGGTTTTTTTTTTTTTTTACCTTTTCAAGGTGACGACCCGTGTTTCACGGTGCTCCGGCTGTAAAAACCCTCTGAGGCCCAAGGAGGGGGAGTGCATCAGAGTGCCCCTGTTCATGAGGAGAGGGTTAATTTGTGGTCAGTGAGGCGCTGCAGCTGCACGCTGACATTTAGCTGCTAATGAGAGCTGAGATGAATGCTGCGGTTGCCTCGTGATGAAAATCAGACAAAGAAAAGGGCACAAACACAGTCATCCTGCGTCATCATTAAACATAGGCCCGATCTCAGGTCAGTTGGATCAGACCCGTGGCCCCAGCTGAGGTGCATGATGGGCATTTATTGACGAACAACAGTCAGATGGAACTGAGGCATGAATCCTCTGTGCACCTGACCTGCAACAGGAAGCAGCTGCAGTTCAATCAGCAGGTGGAGACAGAAGCTGCTCATGAGTCAAACACACAAGTGTCCTCATGAGGAGATGCCACACAAACCAACCCTTGTTAAAGCAATGCCGTAGTGACCAAGTCCCAGCAGAGAGCGTGTTGTACCCGGTACTTTTTACCATACTGACTCTGAGAGACGAGGCAGTCCAAGTAACTTCAAAAGAGTGCTGATTTATTTAACACAGGTAAAAATTAACATTACACGCTCAGGCATCTTGCACCTCCAAACTGCACGCAGGCAGATGAAAGATGAAAGACCCCGAACCAAACCAGGCCTATACATTTATCTCTTCGGTTGGGCTAGCCCCATACTACACAGGAACGCCAAACCGCGACGTGTCCTTGGTGCCAGCTTTGCAGCTGGCCATAGCAGTAGTCAAAATATGAAGTAAATCAATGTGTGTGTAGCTAAAAACATTCTCACACGACCTAAGTGACATGTCATGACATTAAACATAAGAACATATTATGGCTAAGGCTACAGTTATACACGTCATAATAATAATATTAAACACCCTGTCTGCTGACAGACATCAACTTTTCTATCTAGTTATCCTTGACCAGATGTACCCTGTAGAAACTCATGAGCATGACTAAGCATTTAACAGTCTAACTAGACATCCTATCTCCACTAAACATTTCTAATACATAAAGTATCTAACCAATATCTATCTGACTAAAAGTACCTAACAAGCGCGCTACCAACACAGTCGGGCCTGGCCACACCCGCATGTGGGGAATTCAACATAATCCCAGAAAATCTGCACAATACTCGCACATCAAGTTCAGCTTCGGTGAAGTCTGACTGATCAGTTTGTCGCACGATGGCCACAGAGACACGACAACCACAAACAGACACAAAAGGGTGGAAGTGTCTGTTACACGCATCTGGTGTCTCATAATTTGTCCACAGTAACACAAGCTGTGAACAATCTGGTGTTCACAGTCATGTACTTCCTGTGCCAGCTCAGGAAGTTCGACCTGCCCCAGGAGCTGCTGATACAGTTCTACAGAGGAATCATCGAGTCTGTTCTCTGCTCATCCATCACTGACTGGTTTGGCTCAGCAACCACATAGGACAGGAACAGACTCCAGCAAACAGTTGGGTTGCAGACAGCCTGCCCTCCCTGGAGGACCTGTATACCTCACGGGTCAAAAGGAGGGTGGAGCGGATCACTGCAGACCCCTCACACCCTGGACACAGACTGTATGAACGCCTCCCCTCTGGACGGCGCTACAGGTCACTGTACACCAAGACAAGCAGGCACAAGGACAGTTTCTTTCCGTCACACCCATGAACAGTTAGTCTAGGTTTTGCTCTTCAACTTGTCTATATTCTGCATTTATTGCTGTGCCCATCGGGGGCCACTGGGCTGGAGTCAAATTCCTTGTATTTTTGACAATACTTGGCAATATAGTTTATGCTTAAACGATCAATAGGAAATACGACTGATAATATGTGATCAATAAAACACAAATCACATAATGAAGTGACGGCGTCACCGTGCAACCATCGACCTCAGGTCTGCAGCATCAAGCTGTTTAATAAGAACCACAGATAAGCTTCACGTTTATCTGTTGTGTGAGAACAGCGTGTCAGCAGAGACGTCCCCCGGCGGGAGCAGAGCTATAAATACAGGAGCTGACGGTGCCCAGAGCACACGTGAGGAGGAGGACGAGCAGCTCACAGGGGCAGGGGGACAGGACAAACACAAAGAAGAAGAAATAAAGACCAGGACTCTGCAGAATAGACACCAAAGAAGAAGACAACACCGACTATTTCTACAGTACTGCTGTTCACATCTGTCTCACAGAACTTCATTCATTTTTTAGCTTTTAGCATCAGTATTAAATCCATAAAAACAACAAATTCTGTTCTTACACTTTTAGGTTTTCATTACATTTTCGGTGATGGAGAGCGTCCGGGCTGTGGTCCTACTGTCCATCTGTCTGTCCGTGCTGACATCACTCTGTCAGGGTCAAAGGTCGACTGACAGCCAGCTGCCATCTGCACCTGGTGAGCCGGTCCTCGGACTCACAGCTGGAGAGCTGGTGAGTGATCTGTCTGCACACAGGATCTCTGTTTCCATCATATATCTATCGGGGTTTTATTATAACATGGATTTATAGATTAACTGTCGTTTGTCTTTTTACTGAAGAAGTTTGTTTTACTGAAGCCACATGACATCATTTTGAAGATGTCAATGTTGTAAACTACAGTCCAGCTGTAAGTAATTTAGTAGTAAAATGGTCAATTTACTGCAGTAACCTAAGGTGTTTTAATTAAGCAGGTAAAATGTTTTAATTATAACTAATGACAGTGGTAAAAGTAAAAACAGCAGGACTGAAAATGTGATAAAACAGCTGGTAAAAGATGGTTACGTTGCAACGGAGATGTCAAAAGAATCAGTTATGTTTCTGGTGGTGAGTGATGGTGAAATGTTAAGATCGTCACGTTGGTCAGATTTAACATGTTAAGAAAATGTTTAAATGTGGAGACGAATTATACAAAATGGACTGTCAGAAAAAACTGATGCAATTATGAGCAATTAAATTGGCAAACTAGTCACTTAGGTGGTGAACTGTGAACTATATGCGCTCAAACCCTAGTTTATCAAACTGGCAAAAGACCATTCAATTTTAACTAAAGAATAAAAGTGTTCACAAGGTAAATGATGTTCTGTTGGTAAAATGATGCTGAAATTAAAAGTAAGATCTGGTCATGGTAGACATGACCAGATAAAGGTAGAAGTTTGTGGTGTGTGACTTGACAGCTAACGTACAGGCAGCTGGTCCAGTTCTAACCGGGCTGGTAAAAGGTACCAACGCAAAATGAGGTAAGCTGCTAAACGAGTGTGAAAGTCAGACTAATTAAAATGACACCAACAAAGGTGATTCATTAAAACTAATGTGGTTCAATTTTACCCAGTTGTTTAGCTGGAGACTGTCCTGTGTTGCTGTGTGTACTGATGTGTATTACTGAGTGTATTTGTGTGTTGCTGTGTGTACTGATGTGTATTGATTGCATTTGTGTCACTGTGTGTGTGTGTGTGTCACCGTGTGTCTCCAGGCTGCAGCGCTGCAGGGTTTCCTGGATGAAGCCGACACCAAAGCTGGCCTGTCCGTGGAGAAGAAAGCTAGCATCTTCCCACGGGTGAGGGTGGCCGGTGACCACATGACACGTCTGCCTTTCCTGCATGTAAACACAACCAGACAGGTGGCTGGTCCACGAGCCTCTGATTGGACCACAGCAGAGTTTCCCTCCTCTGTTCCCATCACAGGCCTTAAGGCTCAGCTCTGGTCTATTTGTGCGACCTCAGCTCAGTCTATGCAATCAGAAATAAGTTATGAAACCACCAGGCTTAAACTCCTGCATTTCTAACTGGTGACTTGAGGTTCAGACAGGGAGCTGCAGATGAGAGATGTTTATGTAGATTTACCATAGACTCTTGGATCTCAAGCTACTAAAAGATGATACAAACTGTTAGATGTATAAGCAGCTGCAGTGATGGTGTACGATGCTCTGGTGACCTGCGTTCACCACGGTACCTGAACGCCTCCTGTGCGGACACGGAGTAGTGTTAGTGTGTTTGAGAGTCCACACTGAAACCTACCTGTCTGTCTGTCTGTCTCAGTGCGACATCGGTGAGCGGTGTGCCATGAAGCATGGACCTCGGATTGGGCGACTGTGCGACTGTCTGAGAGGAACTGCCTGTAACACTTTCTTCCTGCGCTGCTATTGAACACACACACACACACACACACGTTTGTACCTGTCTTTGTGAGGACACAGTCTCTACCTCTGAACCTGGACCCTAAAACCTGGTCTGAACCCTGAAACAGGTCTTTTGAGGACTCACTGTTGAGCTCTGTGATGGGTCCTTACAAATACAGACACACCTCTGCATGTTTCAGCCTTTGCCTTCACGTTTCAGTGTCCGTGCTTAGATTCATTAATTTTGTTAAATAAATACTCTTCACGAAGCTGCACGGCTCCATGACCTCATCATTTATCATCAGGTCCTGAGGTTGGTCAGGCGGTCTACATCCTGGCCTGACGCCCAGACCTCACTGCACTCATGTTGGTTATTGTATCATTATTAGTTTGTGACTTTAGGGCTTTAGTGACCTTCAGGGAGTTTTACAATCAACACAACTTTTGGTGTGTTCAGACACGCTCTCTGTAACACAAGACCAACATGTTCACATAAGCCTTTTGTCACGGATGTTGTTGGTCTTCTGGTTTGACTTCCTTTTAACAGAGCTGTGTGTGTGAAGGGCTGAATACTGAAGCTCAGCGTGTCACTGCATGCACCGATATAAAACGCAGCGTTGAATTGTGTAACAGCAGCCACTTGTGTCACATCACACTGAATTTGCGTCCTTCTGTCCTCACTCTGTGGTCACTCCTTGCTGTCACGACCCTCCTGAGCTCAGCGTGGGCAACTCTTGTGGCAGCCACGTCAGTCCACTGTGCTGAAACCAGGAGGATGAGAAGAACCAAGAGGCCAAACACCTGGAACAGCAGCAGGAGAGAATGAAAGCTGAGCCATTTGGCACATGTAATGCAAAAACACAGGTGGCCCACTGGTGCAGGCAGGATGTGGACAGAGGCGGCAGGCTTCACATGAAAATGTGTCACATGTGGGGCTCTGAGAAAACCCAGGACAAACTGCTCTGAACAGAGTAAATGAAAAATGATACATAATTCATCCAGTAACTCCACACGCACTCGCACAGCTCCTCTCCTGGACAGACACCCTCCGACCCTATCCGTCTCCACAACCCACTCACAGCAGGAGGTGGCAGAGACAGATCTTGACTAGCTTTTTATTTTGATCAGTTTCTGGAAATTTGGTGAAAATTTCCTGAATGCCTGACTAGAGCTGGTTTACTTTCTGCAGACAGCGAGTTACTGAGAAGGAATTTCCTGTCACAGCGCTGATCTAAGAATACACAGCAGAGACAGGTGTGAACACCCAGAAACACCACTTCCCCCATCAATCCTCCTTGATTAGACCCCCAGTGAGGCTGATCGGCCCTGAGGACACAGCTCTCGACAAACTCTCCTATACAAGTTCGTGACTGAATGTTTTTAACCAGGATTGAGGGGTTCATTCCCACGACATGTGAAATGTACTCACCTCCACCCAGCTCCAGCTCTCTGCTGCTCTGACACAAATCAAACCACAGGTGGAGACTGACACGGGGATCAGACCACGCCACAGTAATCAGGGGTCTGCTCAGTTGAGGCCACGTAGTCTGGTTTGTATCTCCTCCTGTTGGTGGATTCTGTATGTGGGTTGATTTACTTTGTTTTACTTCCTGTTTTTATCAGTACCTGCCCTCTTTGTTCTAACCTGGTGAAGAAAAGCTGAGCTCTGAGCAACGTCCAATCAGACAGGAGCTGCATCTGATCCACAGAACCTTTAACTCAGGCGTCAATGACGCAGGCCGAGCTTATCGTCGAGCATCAGAGGCAGGATGGCATTTAGCTGGCAGCCCAGCTGAGGGAGGTGGGGCCTTACTCTCCCTCTCTGCTCTTTAAACCCTGTTTGTCGTCTTTACATTGACACTGCTTTCTGTTCATTCTTGTCCTTTTATGTGGTTTTGTTAAACACACTAAAAGGTGCCAAGTACAAAAGCCGAGGGCATCCTGCAGCCACAATGTCACCAAATGAAAACTGTGTAATGAACAGAGACTGGATAAGCAGCCCGATGCGGACCTTAAAGCCACCTTATTCCAGCTTCAACTTGTTGAGGTCAAGTCCTTTCTCAGCCAAAGTGACCTGGAGGCGGCTCTTCAGGCCGTCGTTAGTTCCAGGCAGTGGTCTATATGCAGGTCTTAGTCTCGCTACCTGTTCTCGACTCCAGCTGCTGCAGAATGCAGCTGCTCGCCTTGGTTTATCAGAACATGTGGAAGGTTTTATTTAATGTAGTTTTAAAGGTTTCTGGCTATGTCCTAATTCCCTGATCTGTTCATTCCTCATGCCAGTGATAAGAACATTCCTATTTCTGACTGAGGAACGAGGGAACGTGAGACCAACCTTATTCACACACGTATTTTATTAAACTGACACAGCCCTGTATTAGTAATCTGCTGAGGGCTGATTTTACAACAAAAATGAGCCTCTTACAATCATAATACATTTAGTTCTTTCATAATTGTAAAAAAACCCATCCATAAGTATTGATATTAAAATGCCCAGTTGAACAGTCTGTGGTGGGAAGTAGGATGCTCACAGCTTCCCAGATGCTTCAGTGGCTATTTACACGTGAAGCAACTTCAGCTGCTGCTCTCCCCGGCACACTTGTGGCTTTTGACCTGCGACTGCCAGGTGAACCGTTTGTCACAGATACTGCAGCTGAACTGTTTCTGTCCTGTGTGCACGGAGAAGTGGTATGTCAGATTTGCTTTCTGAGAAAAACTTTTATCACACACTGGGCAACTATATGGCTTCTCTCCGGTGTGGACTGTCATGTGTTTATTTAGACCCCCCTTTTGTGTAAAGCTTTTCTCACAATACAAGCATCTGAAGGGTTTCTCCCCAGTGTGGATTCTTATGTGGTTTACTAGAGCACAACGCACGGCAAAGCTCGTGTCACAAAAGGAACAGCTGAAAGGCTTTTCTCCCGAGTGACACCTCATGTGACGAAGCAGGTTTGGCCTCTGGGAAAATCTTTTACCACAAATTGAGCAGCTATATGGTTTCTCTCCTGTGTGATACCTCATGTGTCGCCGCAGACTGTCCTTGCGACCAAATTTTCTTCCACATTCACAGCAGATAAATGACTTTATGGCTGCTTTACATTTGACATAACTCACATAACCGGCGTTATTTGTCAGAGAGTTTAAACCTGACTGCAGTTCCCCCATCTCCTCACAATCGTTATCACTGATCTCAGTCTCAGGTTCAGAAGAGTTCAAAGCTTTGTCACCAGTCTCTAGGTGTAAGAGTCTATGTGGACCTGGGTTCCTGGCTGGTTCTGGTTCTCCACAGTCCTCTCCTCCCTCAGAGTATCTGTTCTCCTCAGTATGGCTCTGATGAAGCTGTGAGGACTGAGGTTCCTCTTCATCATCTTCATTCTTCACAGGGACGGGAGTGAATAGGAACTTGGTGACACCAGCCTCCTCCAGCCCCTGAAGCTGCTCTCCTCCCTGAATAGTCCACAGTTCCTCCTTAATGGGTGGGGGCTCTGCCGGGTCCTGCTGCTCAGGGGGAACCTCTTCTTTGTTCAGCTGCTGGACATCTGCAGAAAACACTGAAATATAAACAAAAACCATGAGCTCATGTTCCACAAACTGAATATGTAAAAATGTTTAGCAATGTCAAACACCATTCACCGAAGGCAATAACATTCATCACAGTTCTCAAGACCCTCCATCCACCTGATGTAGACCAGTTAAAGGGGGTTGCCATAGTAACAGTAGTGAGGTAAGTGGAAGATTTTGGTGCATGATTAAAGAAGTTAGATGATTAGCCACACCGCTGCACTGGGGGCCAGGTTTCCTCCTCAGGGAACACAGGAGGCTGTCTGGAGGGGCAGCGACACCATCTGGGTCCAAATGTTTAACTATCTGGATATTTGTTGTTTGGTTTTCAATGTTGGTATTCCAATATTAGGTTTTTTTTTTCCATTTCTAAATGTAGGATGTCAATAAAAGTGAACTGAAAAATACACTTTGTCAGCACATTCTTGTCATATTTTCTACTTATTAATTTCAGAATCAGAATCTGCTTTATTGGCCAGGTGTGTCAGGACACATGAAGAATTTTACTCTGGTACATAGGCTCTCAATGTGCACGTACATATCCCCATGCAAGAGGCAAATAAACAGTAAACCAACATAAGGCTAATATAACATAAGTAGTATTAACAGGCAGTAAACAATGCAGACAGACAAAGGAATGCTCTCTGTGAAATGAAATAAATAGGAATATAATAGAGTATTTCACTATTAAAATGTGGAAACTTACCATCTAAGCTTGGCCGCTTGACATTGTTTTATATAAGGCCATTCATTTATTTTCACTGAAGTAAACTGCTGACTGAAATGTGTGCTACTCTTATTGTAACTGCACTACCTTGTTCTATTTTTTACAGTTGGCTACCTACTGCTCCTAATGTATAGGAAGGGTTAATGCAGAGGACTAATAAAACACTTACTGCAGCTCTATGGCGTCCATCTCAGACACGAGTATTCAAATCCTAAATCATTTATGAACTTTATTGCCAAGTATGTGAAAATACAGGGAATGTGACTCCTGCTCAGAAGCCCCTGCTGTGCACCAAACTTGAATAAAAAAAACAGAACAAGTAAATACAACCATCTAATAAATATGTACATATAAAAAGGTAAAAATGAGCTATTTGGCAGGTACAGTGATCACTTCTATACACTGTGGCATTTTCTGTATCCTGTTGTACATACTGTATAAACACGGGTTCAGTGCTAATCAGAGCAACGGCCCGAGGAAAGAAACCGTCCTTGTGTCTCGTTGTCTTGGCATACAGTGACCTGTGGCGCCATCCAGAGGGGAGGAGTTTAAACAGTTTGTGTACATGATTTTCTTTGTCAGACATGAGAATCAGCTGAGTCTCTGTGGATCTGCTGGTTGGACACAGCAAGACGTGAAGATGCCACCTTTGGCTCTGGAGAGTCACAGTGGGATGTTTTCCCAGTGTCTGACATTCTGGGGATAAACAGATCAATCAGAGCATCAGGACAATGATCAGCTGATTGATCAGTGACCCTACTGTTTAAGGTCTCTTCTCACTTGTCACCATCTGTATGTGTTTTATGTAATGTAAAACAATACCCAAGCGTGTTGTGTCATCTTGTTGTGATGACTGAGGTCTGCCAGCATGGCTTGCTGTAAAAAAAATAGAGTGGCCACCTCTGACACAGCACCTGATCTGTGTCACACAGGTGGGTGTCGGAGTATGCTGGGTTACATTAATAAACCAGGTGTACCCAACAAAGTGGCCACCAACTGCACAACTGTAAAACTTGATATGTGCTGGCAGCTGGTAGAATTAATCAGACTATCTGGTATTAACGTGGTTTAATGTGGAGCAGACCGTACCGTGTTAACGGCTTCGTTAGCTTCAGGCTGGGCTGTTTATTCCCGCGGCCCGTGCTAAGCTTTGGAGCTAAGGCTTTAGCAGCAGCTAGCTACACTCGCAGCTGTGTACACGGTTTAGCTAACGTTAGCTTGGCGACAGCAGCACAGTAGTGAACATGTTTCCAGCAGAATAAAACACACAAACCTGATTCTTGCTTTGTTTCGGGTGTTAAGGCCACGCTGAGCCGTCTGCGATGGCGAAACTCCAGCTCTTCTTCATATTCGCTTATCGTTTTCTCGAAATGTCCAAAAATCTCGTCAACAGCTGCCGTTAGCCGCTGCTTCACAAACACCTTCAGACTCTGGAGTCTGGACATCTTCCACATAGATAAAGAAATACCGACGCTCCTTTCTACCGTTAATTAAACACAGAAGGTGCAAGCACTCTATTCTGCTTCTACTGTCAAATCTGACCAGAAATACAGATAACTTCCGGGTCACGTTTCAGAATAAAAGCAGTCTTGTTGACAGATGTCACACATCAAACTAAACAAACTGACACAAACAAACCAAAACAACCTGATTAAATAATATAGAAGTAAACACGAGACGCTGGATCAAGTTCTTCTTGTTGGTTTAAGTTTCTAGCTGCTGTATCAGGTTATGCTGAGCTGCATTTCTACATGCATTACACCAGACACATTTGTTCTTACATAAAGTATTAATTTAATCATATGAATGTTTTCAACAGTTACATATCAGTTACACAAGAATCCAGATGCTCTGAATCGACTTCCAGGAAACACACACGTGCTTCATAAAGGCTGAGTGATGTGTTTATTTCACACTGAATTTGGTGAAAAGCAGTGACTGTGTGCACCACCTGCTGGACATTTCGGCCTTCGGCGCTCGGACCGTGATGGCTGTAAAATGAACGTGGTCCGGGTCCGGATCTCTAAATACTGTACATCAGAGTTGAAAGTTTTACAGGTTTTGAAGTACACAGGTGTAGTGCGCCTTCTAAAGCTGCAGCAGGGCAAGCAAACAGGAAGTGCTGGTGAGGTTGGGGGAAATCTACTGATTTCAGCATTTGACTGTTATTTGTCTATTTATTTATTGCACCAAATCTTTTCCGTGGTATTTATTTTACTTTATTTCTATAGTTTGGTCATCTTGTTATTTGAGTGACTTTGAACTCAAAGTGTGATGACGTGACACCCTTTGCATGGTTAATAAATATACCCTTAGCTGTTTTGAGCATATGGACAATAAACAGAATATGTAACACTACACTGCCTGTTTTCATTCATATGTACAATATATTAATTAATGTTGATTAAATGTAGTGAGATAGGCACGTACAAGGAGCTGAACATGCACAGATCTCCACAGGTGGATGTGTTGATGTACATTACATTGTCAAATAAAAGCACCAAACTTCATCTTTAGACACAAAGCGGTAGTAGAAAATATATTTGGTTTACACTCTCAAACCAAGGCTTGTCCTCTGTATGTCCTCAGTTTAAAGGAAAGGGGAAAAAACTTAAAGGTTTTCCCAGGATTGTAAAAATGCAATAAAATACATTTCCTTCAGACTCAATTGGCTGAAAAGGTAAAAACCAGTGAATGTTCCTGAATTTGAAATTAAGTAGGGTAAGAACCTGGAAGAGCTGCCTCTTTTATTATAAAATCTAACAGTATATATGGTTACCTTTGTTTCCCTGCTCTTTGAGCAATATCTTATCACATTGTGCCACGATATTAGAAACATTTTGAGATACTGTACTATCTGAGCAACTTCATTCTAGGACGAGGCCTACAATGCAACCGAAAGCTGCAGAAATATAGTTGAAGAATGTTCTTAATGCTGCTGTTTGATTAACTTCTTCTTGGTTATGTTTCGATCAGTAAGCAAATAATTTTAGTAACGCCTCCAAACTTTATTTTGAAGTTCACCAACAATCTGCTCCGGAAGCTACAGTATTTCCTGTAGCTAATTTGACGATATGTTAGCAAGATTTCGTCTGGTAGAAATATTCTGCCCGTATCTTCAGAAACAAACAGTCTGAACGCAGAATCAGCCGGTATCAATGCGTCTGAAAGGACTTTGTGTTGCTCTCTTGTTTTCTGAAGGCTTTCCTCTCACTCATATCCCGCTACACAGCCGCGGAAGCTTAGAGCGACAGTTGGATGGAAAGCGAAGCGTGTTTGTGACAGTGTGCGCGCGGAGAAAAAGTTTGTCAGCGTGTGAAAATGTCTAAAGTCCAACTGAGGAGAGCGTTGGTGAAGCAGCGGCTAAAGTGCAGCCAAAGCAGAAGTCGCTACATCAGGGGGGCGGCCATATTCTGACCATTACGATAATGAGGTTACTTTATTGACGGTTATTAGGTCAACACGAGTTTGGTCGTTTCTACAGGGGACATCTGGTCAAGGACACCAGAAAGAAGAGTTGATGACTGTCAGCAGACAGGGTGTTTAATATTATTATTATGATGTGTAAAACTGTAGACTTAGCCATAATGTTCCTATGTTCGAGTCACGACATGTATTAGAGGTCGTGAGAATGTTTTTAGCTACACACCGCTTAACCAACAGACACACACATTCACACGTTGATTTGCTTCATGTTTTGACTACTGCTATGACCAGCTGCAAAGCTGGCAACAGAGACATCTCGGTTGACGTTTCTGTGTAGTATGGGGCTAGCCCAACCGAGGGGATATAATGTATAGACCTGGTGGGTTCAGGGTCTTTCATCTTACAACTGTCTGCGAGCAGTTTGGAGGTGCAAGGTACCTGAGCGTGTAATGTTAATTTTACCTGTGATCCTTTGAATAAATCAGCACTGTTTTGAAGTTACTTGGACTGCTTCGTTATTATGAAGTTATTATGGTAGCAAGAACTGGTCCCTTCAGATCCTAACTAAAAAAATCAAGTTTAGTCCTTGTATGAAATATTTTTGATGCTATGAAACTTAAATTAAGGTCATACTGTAATCGATAATTTTATATGAATTAAACATTTTATAATGGTAACTCAACACTTTTCTGGTGTGTTCATTTTCCAGTGTTGGTAAAATAGCCTGACAGCTGGACTTCTGAGGTCATACTGACATTGGAGGTCTGGAGCCAGATGTTTCCCATCAGTTCAGCTAAAAGTTAATGGACCCGCAGTGTTTAAAATCACTCAGGTATAATTACATATTCAGTCAACTCGATAACAAAAAAAGAATGACTCATTTTCCAGGCTGCAGTTCTGTTTCTGAGTCAAAACAAAAATGGCAGTCTGTCAACTACCTGAACAGGAAACGGTCCCAACTTGGGAAATACACACAAAATTCCAACAAATGTTCCACAATGAAAACTGATGATTCTCACGCTGATGCTTGTTACTTGACCTGACTCTTTGGTTTCAGTGTGTGAACCCTCTTTGTTCTTCCTAGGATTTTGTCCTTAAGGTTTTGAAATTCCAGGACAAAGTGGTGTTATCAATGACTACAGAGTTGATATGGAAACTGTTTTTCATAATGTGTGTCTGTATTTCATTCACCCCTGTAGATGTCCAGCAGCTGAACGAAGAGGTTCCCCCTGAGCAGCAGGACTGGGGCCCCAGCCTGGACCAGGACCCGGCAGAGCCCCCATGCATTAAGGAGGAACAGGAGGAACCGTGGACCTGTCAGGAAGGAGAGCAGTTTCAGGGGCTGGAGGAGGCTGATGTCACCAGGTTCCCATTCACTCCTATCCCTGTGAAGAGTGAAGATGATGAAGAGGAACCTCAGTCCTCATGGCTTCATCAGAGCCATGCTGAGGGGAAAAGACACTCTGAGGGAGGAGAGGACTGTGGAGGACCAGAACCAGCCAGGAACCCAGGTCCACATAGACTCTTACAGCTAGAGACCAGTGACAGGCCTGAAGAGTCTTCTGAGACTGACGTCAGTGAAGATGATTGGACAAAGACAAGAGAACATCAATCAGGCTTAAACTCTGTGACAAACAATGCACGTGATACTGACAAGGAATCGTTTATCTGTTCCAAGTGTGGGACAACATTTGGCCACAGGACAAATCTGAAAAGACATATGAAATGTCACACAGGAGAGAAACCATTCAGTTGCTCATTTTGTAGTAAATGTTTCAAGAACACTTGACTGCTAACATGAGATGCCATTCAGGGGGAAAACCTTTTAGCTGTTGTTTGTTACACAAGTTTCAGTCATGGCTGGTCACTAGATAAACACATGAGAGTCCACACTGGGGAGAAACCATTTTGTTGCTCACTTTGTAGTAAAAGATTCAGACAGCACTCTGATTTGGTCTCTCACTTTAGAATTCACACCGGAGAAAAACCTTTTTCCTGCTTGGTTGGCAACACCAGTTTCACTCAGCGCCACACTTTGGTTCAGCACATGCGAAGCCACACTGGGGCGAAACCCTTTCCTTGTTCTTTTTGTGGTAAGAGATTCTCACGAAAGGGTCACATGACCAGACACATGATGGCTCACACTGGGGAGAAGCCATTCAGCTGTGGTGTCTGTGACAAAAGATTCACTTGGCAGTCCCAGCTGAAAAGACACAAGTGTGCTGGTGAGGGCAGTGGCAGTAAATGAAGCTGTGCAGCCACAACTATTCACTAAGCACCTCGGAAACTTTAGGTTTCCTGCTGCCCCCCCCTCAGTGTGTAAGGGCAGGGCGACACCACCACTGGATGTACAGTATAACACAAATGATACATGAGAAATGAGTGATTTCCTGTCTTCTCTTGATCAAATTTGACCCAAAACACTTGAATTGTATTTAAATGACAGTCAGTGATTTTGTATGTTTCTCTTATTTCCCACAAACCCCATCCAGAGCCTTTGGACTGATGAGATCAAAGTGGAGCTGTATGGTTGCCATGCACAGCACTGTGCTTGGAGAAAACCAAACACAGCACTGTAAACACCTCATACCTGATGATCTGGGCTTGTTCTGCAGCCATAGGAAGCTTCCAGACATTGAGACGATGGTGAACTCCACTTTATACCAGGATAGTCTTGAGACAAATATGAGGCTCCTACAGAAAATGTTTACTTCAAGTTATTATTGCTGAGGCTGGTTCTGCATCTTACTGAAGAGTGGACTTCTATTTCCCCACCTGGTTTCTGAATGTTGGTTCACTTTGGAAACAAGGCAATACATAGCATGTTACAACTACCACCAGGGGCGCTACTGATGCCAGTACTCATCTATACAGGTTTTCCCTGCTATACTGCTGATCACTGTAAAGCAGGGCTGCTTCGCTGTGCTTCAGGAGTAATCTTTAATGATGCGATACTGTAACTGTCAAGAGACGTCTTAATTGGGTTAGAAAGAAACGGCACATGCCCTATAACCAGCATGTACCAGGGAAATGTGATTGTAAAAAACACAGATTTTCAAATAAAAGAAAGATACTTTATTGATGATGTTCTCATTTATATTGTAACCAGTGAACACGTCAATTAACTGCAATCCGGGGTACCCTACCACAATTAATTCTGCCTGACCAGTCGCCGGGGGCCCCTCCTGCCTTTGCATTAATGCATGAGTAGGGTACCCTGGCTTATGACTGGCAGTGGAAGATAATTCATTACTGAGAACATGAACATTTTTGTGAATACTGCTGAGACAGGATTCCCTCATTACATCAAATGCATCTGGACACACAGGAAAACACTTGAGTAAACTATAAAACACTGTTACTCTTCACAATAAGGTAAAAGAAAATGAGAAAATACAATATTAACAACAAACAGTGTTAAACCAAGGAATCATAAAAAAAGTATACTGGGGCAATGTGTTAAAAGTGTGATGTCACAGGGGCCATAAAATCACTCACTTCACACCTGAGTTTGACAGAAGGTGTGTCCTTATACTGCCTAGCACCAGGGTTCTGGTGATCTTACGGTCACCAGCACTGCAGCCGAACAGTCTCTCTCCTGTGTGTAGAGGCATGTTTTGCTTTAAACTTAATTTAGAAGACAACCTTCATCCCACACTGAAGGGTTTGTCCCCTGTGTGTCACAACATACTGCCCCTCTGTGAAGTGTCTCTTAGGGCAGACACCAAGCCGATGGTCGGCCGGCGTTGAGTGTCTGTTGGAGTTTGTCTTCCCAGGGTGTCCTGCACTGTTGGCACTAGTCGGCCCCTGTCAGTTGGGTTTTCAGCTGGTCTAACATGTTGAAACGGCATCTGCGGTTGGGTCTCATAGGTGAGAGAGAGAGACCACTCTGATTGGCTGTTGAGTTTAGCAAATCCATGCATGAGAAGACACCAGTTAGGGAAAGCCCCTTCAACCTGTCGCCGTCCAGTTTCTCGCTTATACTTCCACAGTCTGTCTCTCCTTCTTTAGGTTTCTGAATGGCAAATACAGATGCCGCCACCTGCCACTGGTCTTTGTCGCTGCCAATTCTTTCACGTTGGCTTGGTGTGTCTCTGCCCTAACAAATCAGCAGCTGAAAGGTTTTTCTCCTGAATGGAGTCTCATGTGATGAAGTAGGCTTTGCTTTTCAAGGAATCTTTTACTACAACATGAGCAAACAAACAGTTCCTCTCCTGTGTGAGTTCTCATGTGTTTCCTCAAACGGTAACTACTGCTAAATGTTTTACTGCATTTAGAGCAGCAACGCTGTTTCCCTTGTTTGTGACCTCTCGCGTGTCTCTTCAGACGGTAACTGCTGCTGAATGTTCTATCGCAGTCAGGGCAGTGGAACGGCTTCTCAGCAGCACCATGGCTCGTGTCACCGGCAGCAGTGTCATTTGTTTTTAAAGAGTTCAAGCCCAACTGACACTTCCTGGTGTCTGTACTGTCCCCTTTCCTGATTTCAGTCTCAGAAGAGTCTTCAGTCATGTCATCAGTCTCTAACAGACTATGTGGACCTGAGTTCCTGGCTGGTTGTGGTCCACCACAGTCCCCTCCTCTGACAGACTCTCTTTTCCTCTTAGTGTGGCTCCAACGAAGCTGTGAGGACTGAGGTCTCTTTTCATCATCTTCACTGACATCAGTCTCAGAGGAATCTTCAGTCATGTCATCAGTATCAGGTTCTAAGAGTCTATCTGGATCCAAGCTCCTGGCTGGTTCTGGGTGTCCAGAATCTTCTCCACAGTCTCCGTTCTCTTTAGTCTGACTTTGATGAAGCTGTGAGAACTGAGGTCTCTTTTCATCATCTTCACTGATGTCGGTCTCAGAAGAGTCTTCAGTCTTGTCATCAGTATCTGGTTGTAAAGGTTTATGTGGTTCTGGTCCTCCACAGTCCTCTCCTCCCTCACAGTGTCTGTTCTCCTCAGTGTGGCTCTGATGAAGCTGTGAGAACTGAGGTTCATCAGCTTCACTCTTCACAGGGACAGGAGTGAATGGGAACTTGGTGACATCAGCCTCCTCCAGACCCTGACGCTGCTCTCCCTCCTGACTGGTCCACAGTTCCTCCTGTTCCTCCTTAATGTGTGGGGGCTCTGCTGGGTGCTGGTCCAGGCTGGGGTCCCAGTCCTGCTGCTCTTCTTTAACAGTCACTTTCCGAATGTCTGCAATACCATCTGAAACACATAGTTGTTGATGAATATCAGTGCATTCAGACACCCAATTCTTCACAACCCAACATACTCATCAATAAAAAGTATAGAAAGTGACCCTCTGCTGTTCCTTCATCTTAATGATGGTCATGTAGGTCAACCTTTCTCTAGTTTATTATTATTGCATAAAATGACAAAACAGTGACGTGCCTTCCTGAGCAGCATAGTGAAAAAACTAAGGCAGAAGTGGACACAGCAGAGTAGAGTATAAAATAAATGAAACATTCCCACCAGGCCATAAATCTCATGTTGAAAAACAAGGCGATGCAGCCTAAGTATACTGGTGACTCTAAATTGCCTGTGGCAGTGAGTGTGTGTGGTTCTTTGTCTACATGACAGCCCTGTGCCAGACTGGTGACCTGCCAGGGTGGACCCTGGACCCTCTCACCCAGTGTTAGCTGGGATTGGCTCCAGCCCCCTGCAACCCTATTCAGGAATAAGTGGTATAGATAATGGAGTGATCTTTCTAACACATATTCAGGTACAAATACAGAAATCATTATAATATCTGATCAAAATACAAAAACCCCATCACAACATCTGATTAAAATACAAGAATCACAGACACTTAATACATCTAGTTAAACCAAGGACTGCTATATTATTACAATACAAACTTGATCAAACACTAAAATCAGTGGTTCGTCTCTTTATGTTTTCTCTTCTTACAGGCACTCATGTCACTCAGACAGACATCTCTGCCTGCACTTTCTCTTATGTGGACGTACCTGCTAACCTCCCCTTTTTTCACTGCAGCGACACACACATACACATCGCACTGGTCTAGTCACATGTAAAATGATAAGTTAGGCTCATGCTGCTGACCAATTCTCTGCTTTTCGACAGTTACAAACTAGGGCTTTTGTGTTCACAACATAGATGTTATATTTAAATTAAAGTGCAGATGCTTGTAGAACTCTTTATGGGAAATATGCAAAGATATTTCATGCATGGCACTGGCACTAGTAGTAACTGTGCACCTTTATTATAATTTGAATAGTAAATAGTGCAAGACCTGTGTGTGTGCACATTTTGACTCAAATGCATACGGAGCTCTTGCTGCTCTCTGCTGACGTTGCCTAAGGTCATGGGTCAAAAGTAGCATAGATGTATCAAGGAGAATATTTAAAAAAAGGATGTCTAAGTTGGGGGGTGCTGTCATCAAATGTCTTATCTTGTCCAATGAGCAAAGATCTAAGTTGTAAACACATCCATTACTTAAATAGAAGTACACAAACCTGTGTAAAAAAAAACTGGTAAAAGTATAAGTACTGATTCAGTCTTTACTTGAGTAAAAGTAAAAAGGTACAGGCTCTGAAATATACTCACAGCACTGTTTTGTAGTTACTTGGACTGCCTCGTCTCTCAGAGTCAGTATGGTAAAAAGTACCGGGTACAACAGTATAAAGGTAAAAGTAACCCTTCAAAGGACATTTCTACCTGCTGGTTCTGTGCAAACCGCATCTTATTTCCATTTCATTTCCAAAATTAACCCATTCATACATAAAATAAAAATGTACCACAAATAATTAATAACTAACAACAACGCATTTCTAGTCATTTTCTATAGTGTTTTCAACACAGACTAAAACTAACAGTGAACCGTCTAGAACACGGATCGGAAGTTTCGTCGGTGCCGCAGGCCTCCGTTCAGAAACACCTAAAGAAGTCGGTGAAACGTACCGCTGCACTGGACCAGTATGTTTGTTAAAAATGATGCGCCAATAACTTTTTATACCATCTGAAGTACAGCCAGACTAATGCGCATGCACGAGGTCTCCGTGAAAGCGCGAGGATCTAGTGGACTAAACAAAGGAGGGAGCGTGTAAGTCTACTGAAGAAACACGTGCCCCAGTGCAGTGTGGTGTAAAATAAAGATAATCGATAAATACCCCTAAAACTAACGAGCCTGATTTGAAAGTGTGAGGAGGAGAACGTACAGATATTTGTGTTAAAATGTAGGGAGTAAAAGTAAACGTTGAACTTGAGTATTTTTCAGACAAATGCCTTAAAAATCTACTTGGTTGGTAACCGATAGTTAGAGCCATCGGTTGAGTTGGCGCCGCAGATGGCTGCCATCGGTTCTGTACCGGAAACAAATTCCTTGTGTTTAACATACTTGGTCAGTAAAGGTGATTAAAACCTACCTAAGTAAACTAACGGAGGATCGTAAGCATCGTTACTTCCTACCTCTGACGAAGAACAGTTCAAAACAGATTTCGTGTCAGTTTACTGACACGAAGAGGACGAAAAGGTCCTCTCAGTGTAGACTTTTTCCAATATGTGTGACTGAAAACTGCCAAAACAATTAACTGTAAATTAATAATTAACACATTTATCGCTTCAGCCCCAGATCTATCACTTTCTTAACCGAGTGATGAGATAAGCCTCAAAGGGAACGAACCTGCTCCGCGTGGCCGCGGCAGGAGCACAGCATCGAGTAGCTCCCGCTGCCGCTTGTTCTCCTCTTTGGTGCGGCAAAGCTCATCCTCGTACTCCGCTACCGTTCTTTCAATCAGTCCAAATATCTCTTCAACAGCCACAGTTAGTCGCTGCTTCACCAACGATCTCAGCAGCTGGACTTTAGCCATGTTCACACACTGACGAAGACGCCTTCCCCACGCACTCCGTCACAAACACGCTTTGCTCTGCATCCGACTGGCGCTCTCGGGCTAAGCTCTGGCTGCAGCTAGCATGCTAAGTTAACTTCCGTAGCTCTGTAGAAGGACTTGAATGAGAAGGAAAACATAAAAAAAAAACGAATGAAGAGCACAAAGTCCACTCAGACGCGTCAATCCACACTCGGAACCGACTCTGATGTTTCTGTTTAACACAGAAGTGGGCCTCACATGGCAAGCAAAAACAAGACAGGCACCATTTTAGAGCAAAGAAATAAACTTCCGGGTTTTGCCCGTCAAAATAAAACGTTCATAAGTTTACTTGAACATTTACACGTTAGTAAACAAACCAAACAAACTCAACTTGTGAAAAACATAGCAACACAATAATACAAAATATACAAAGAACATCCACCTGTCCTAAAGTATATCTCACAAAAGCAGAATCATCTATCATAGATATACAGCATCTTAACTATAACTTCAGAGCTGTCAGTGGAGACAGCCAGCGGAATTATATTCCACAGCACACACAAGAACTGCCTACCGCATTGTAAGTCTTGTTTTAAAGAAAAACTGTTTCGTTGTAACAGAATACTTTGCTTGTTTTTACAAGATACTTTCAGGTTAAAACATTTTTCATGTTATGACATACTCTATTTCCTTGTTACAACAACATACTGTAGGCTAATTTGTCATTGTAACAACATACTGTATTTTCTCGTAATAATATGAGCCTTTCTCCTCTGTTGAACCACTGAATGTAAAGTCTATACAGTGGACAGCCTGACAGCCCCCAGAGGTGAGGCTATCGTGAGTCGATCGCCCCCTGGTGGCTGGCGGCAGTATCCTGCATCCTCCATGTCAGTAGATGGGACATGAACCACACTAAAAACTAAAAGTAAAAATCAAATAAATTTTTCCAAGAGGTGATTTATGTGGTTTTTGGTAGCTCTTATCATACTGTGTGTACAAGTGTGTACTGTGTGTGGTCACCTTTTGGACAGTTTATTAAAATACATTATCTGATAATATAAAAAAGAGGTGTATTTCAGATGATTGGCAGCTTTGATTGTGCTGTCATTCCACTTCTGGTCGCTGCTGCATTGTAAAATACCCAGAATACAGTCGCTGTATTCATGATATTTTGGCTTCATTTTTGCATAGTGGAGGGAAGTGGTGATGATACAGTCAATGTTCTAAATGACAAAACTCCTCGTCACACTGTGCTGTCACATGTTCACACACTGACAGCAACATTTTCTTTTTTTTCAGCATTTTTTTATTGAAACAAAGAAACACATTAACAAAACCGTACCGAACATGGGAGACAAGACAACAGTTACATGACATTACAAAAGGATATAGAGAGTTTAACGAGGTTGTAGTGTGTGAAGTGTGGGTATTTCCAACTTATGCAGTCTATGAAATGCAAGAAAGGGAAAAGGAGGAGAAGTAAATAAAAATTAAAAAAAATACCAATAATAATGATGATAACAGTACTACTAATAAAAGTGACTTGTTACATTTTAGAGCTTGGTGGGAATGTGCGTGGCCTCAGCCCCAGGTATTTGGTTCAAGTTGAAATGTGTTAAAAATGGGTTCCATGTGTCATAAAAAGCAGATAAACTATTCTGGTGAGTGGATGCCATTTTCTCTAATGTGATGTATTCTGTCAGAAGGTTGGTCCAGTGG